GCACTTTCCTGAGAGGGGTTCTGGGGGAAGAACAGATTGAAAAATTACTCCTGGGCATTTGATTGGCTCAGTCTAAACACAAACCAAAGCATTTGCCTGGAGCTAAAGATAAGATGGTCAACCTCACAAATATTGCTGAAATACGCAGACTCCTGTCTAGTAAAGACTTGAACTGTACCTCATGCTATTTACAAAAATTAACTCAATATGGATAATCGACCAAAATATCAAACATAATGTAAAACTTCTCCTGTCAAACATAAGAAAACATTTTTATGACACTGAATTATGCAAATTTTTACCCGTGACAATAAAAGGAGCAATTCAAGATGAAAGCCTTATTAAGTTATATCAACATCAAAGTTTTCTTTTGTAAAGATACTGTTAAAAGAATGCAAAAAAAGAAATTCAGACTTAAAGAAAATCCCAGAAAAATAAATCAGCTTAAGGACTTATATTCAAAATATACTAAAAATACTCAGAATCAGTAATAAGAAAACAGAAAACCTGTTTTTAAAATGGGCCAAAGATTTTAACAGATTTCCAACAAAGAAATAAAGAAGTAAATAAGTGCATGAAAAGGCACTCATAATCATTTATCGCCACAGAAATGCAAATTAATAGCAACAATGCAAATTAATACCATCTGCACACTTTAGAATAGCTCAAATACAAAAAAAACACTTGATTACTAGTTATTACGAGATGAGAGCGACAGGTCTCAATACTGCTGGTTGGAAGCAACATTATACAAGCCCATTCAGAAACGGTCAGTTAAATAAAAAAATGAAATGTACATTTAGCATTTGTCCAAGAAATCCTATTACAGAATTTTTCCCAGAGAAATAAAATATATGTTCACAGAAAAGTCTGTAAACCAATGTTTTGTAGTGGCTTCTTCATAACTGCGTTGACACATGTGTACAAAGAATGCTGGTTAGCAATAAAAAAGGAATGAACTACTAACACATGAAACAACAGAAATGAATTTTAGATGCCTTATTCTATGTGAAGGAAGCCAGACTTTAAATGCTACATATTACATGATTCACTTATAGGACATCCTGGAAAAGGCAAAATTACAAGCTCTTACAATAAGATCAGTGGTTTCAAAGACTGGTATGGGGGAGGAGCTGACTATGTAGGGTCATGAGGGAATATTTTGGGGTGTTGGAACTGTTCCATATCTTACTTATAATGGTATTTACATGACCATTTATGTTAGTTGGAGATCATAAATGGTATATTTAAATGCTTGATTTTTCTTTATGTAAAACATAACTAAAGACACCTGACCTAAAATTCTAAAAAAAAAAATTGGGTCTCCCTGGTGGGCTAGGCATTAAGTCTCAGCACTGTCACCTCTAGCGCATGAGTTTGATCCCCGGCCAGGGAGCTAACCCACATATGGCACAGCAGACCTCTCCTGTCTCACCTGCTGTTCCCTCACCAGTGGATTTCAGTAGATCCCCCTGTTCTGCTCCCCACTCTGTCTCTGGTGAATCCTCTCACTACTATTCTTCTATGCAAAAGTAATTTTTTTTTTTAAATGAAGAATGAAGAAAATGATTTTGGGGAATACATGTAAATGTGACTATATAAACACTATATACACACTCCTGTGTGTATATTACATGCATAGCCATCTATGTGTAGGTGTAAAGGGGGCAAAAAAATTTTAAATACAAGATTCAGGCCAGTGGTTAAATCAGAGGGACATCCAGGTGGCTGGGTGAGGGACAACTAAGTATGTAGGGATAATTTTTTGGCCATTTCCACTTGTGTGATGGATATTTGTGTTAGTTATTGAAATAATAGATTGTTAGATGATAGTTGGATGGATCAATAATGGCTGCTGATACAAACATTGAGTAATCGATAGATAGGTAGGTAGATAGACAGACAGACAGACAGGCAAATAGATAGATAGATAGATAGATAGATAGATAGATAGATAGATAGATAGATAGATAATTAGTTAAGCAAGCCTTGGCATGGACCAATGATGAAATTTATCACAAACCAAGGATTACTGGTAAACTAAATCTGTGAATCTGATATTGACACTAAGAAAAAGCAATGACATAGACTCCAAGAACAAATATCATCTTGGCACACACACCATTCCAGGCTTGTGGGTCTCATCTCCCCCTTTCATAGTGCCAGCCATAAGTTGAATGGGGTAGGGCTGGCCCTTCTTTGTTTGCTCACTTATTACACTAATAACTTGCTCAAAAGGCTCACCCTGGAGCCAGACCTCAGATAAAGCACTTTCTGTTCCAGAGCTAAAGTCCGTGCTTCAGGTCATAAAACCCAATTTGGGGCCAGCCAGGGAGTATCTTCTCCAAGTGTTATCCCAGAGTCCTCAGGATGCCCTGGCTGCTGAAACATCCCACAGAGCCACACATATGGAGACCCCCATGCTCTGGGAGGGGTTCAAGGAACTTCTGTCCTTCCAGGTTCACTGTGGATGCTGTTCTGAGAAGCAAAGGCAGGTAGGGGAGGCCCCCAGGGAGTGTGAAACTAAGGAGTTTCATTCAGCTCAATGACAGAAAGGAGAACATTGGCTGTGTGTCCCCAAACACAGCAGGGGAAGCTCCCTGCTGACAGGCTCTGAAGTGCAGACATTGTACACACACAGAGCGCAGCCCCACTCTAAACAGCATTGGGATGAAAAATGGCCTCTCTACTTATTTCTGGGAAACCACATTACCTGGAACAATCATTCCACAGCCAGGCTTAAACCTGAGACTGAATTCTCCTTGGTTCACCCAGTAGCACCTCCACTGTGCCGTGGGGCTCAGTCAGCACAGATGCAAACACTCCTGGTGTCCTTCCTCTCTGCTACCTCCAAAGATCCCTGAAGGCAGACATGCCTCTAGTTCACTGCTGAAATCCAGCCCCGCAGCCCACTGCCTAGTCCAGCTGGTGGGCGCATGCGCTTGCAGTGAGAAACTGTGGGAATGCACACCCTGAGTGAAACTGATTCCAGGAGATGAGAATGGCCAGGCAGCTGGGAAGGAAAGGCTGAGCAGAGGAGCTGTAGAATGATGGCTCCAGTGAGGGTGATGGGGTGGGTCTGGGTGGGACTGGCGGGGCTCCCACTGCTCCCACAATCTCCATGAGCCCCATCCCTGCTTTGGGCCCCTTCAGCCCCACCATATGGTTGGGAGTGTTAAGGGACAATCCACAGGGCAAGCAAAAGGGCTAAACTTCCGGGGAACTTAGAGGACACAGAAACATGTTCCCTCCCCCCTGCCCACCATACACTTCTTTCTCCATACTCAAGGCCATTCATGTTCCACAGGTATGGGGAAGATTTTGGAACCATTGATTCAAAATGAGAGAAGGGGGAAGCTATAACCTTTACTATTAATTTGTTATCTAAAAACCAGCAGTTCCTGTAGACAAATCAGAAACATTGGCATTAACGGTGCTTATTGAGTTTGGTTTAATTCAATTTAAATATATGGATATTGAAGTCGCAATCATTTTTTTGGTATAGGTAAAGTAATATATTTTATTACAGTTCAGATAAAACTGATGGTCTATATCTGTAGCACTATAAGTAATTTGAATAAGGAATGTATTCAGTTTACATAAAGCTTAATACTTTTATGAGGGTCACACCATCAAGTGAGGTTTATGTACCATTGTCAACATCACAATTATCAACCATTTTTTGCAAACATTTAATGATCATAAATTGCACAATTTGTCCTTGACTTCTCCTTCACGTGAACCATTTATTTCCATTAGTATCCACAGCATTAGAACAACAGCACATATACCTATTAAGTGGTTCAGAGCTGGGCCTTGTTAGCCTCCATGGCCTCCTTTTCCTTCTTATTTAGTAGCAACTGTGGATCTTGTCACCTAAAAGTGACAAGTGCCGTCTCCACACAGACTCCTCTGCTGTTCCCCGTGCTGCAACACGGGGACCATGAGTTTTTCTTAGGAACATTTCATCTTTAAACATGAACTTTCTCTACCTGCCACCCCTTAGCCCACACCTCACACTCACAGGATAAGAACGTTATCCAGCTGTCTCCCCCAGAGAGCATGTGAGACTCCATAACTCACTGGGACTTGCAGTACAATGGGGGAGTGTGCCCTAAAAGCTGAAACCATAAACTTGAGCTCTTCATAAGCACTTTTGTGATAGCACTTTATCATCAGAACATCTGTATCTACTAGTCTGAATGATGGGCCACGTACACGGTGAGACACTCGGGGAAGAACTGTGACACAGATCTCTAAATTGTTACTGTTGGGTGATGTGAAAGGAACAGATCTTGTGTCAGGGCTTGGAAATGAATGAATGAAACGAAGGAGCAGCAGCCTCCAAGGCCCATACAAGTGGGAAGTCATATGCAGTCATGGGACATCCTGGATCCGCCTGATTAGATCTTCAGCCTGGTGCCCAGGAAGACACAGGATGCAGGCATCAGGAAGTGTGTGGCCGGTCCCCTCCCTGCTTGAGAAAGCAGCCGCATGCTCAGGCCCTGCATCACACCCTACCCAAGATAAAAGGGCTCCTGCCCTGGGCTCCCCATGCACAGCCTCCTCTGGAACAGCCTCTCCTGCCTCCTCTGCGCCCGGTGAGTATCTACAGGGGTCACAGCCTCAGCTGGGAGTGCTGGGAAGACAGACTCAGACCCGGTTGGATCCAGCTGAAAGCGCCCCACAGGGGCAGCAGTGGGGAGGGTGTGCTGAGGAAGGACATGGAGGACCTGTCTGGGTCTATGAACTCCTAAAGCCACAGGTCCTCCTTCCCAGTCCTGCTCTGAGCATGTTGTCAGGGCACACAGGATCCATCTGATACCCAGGAGCAGCTTTGTGCACATGGATGTCCATCTCTCGTGTTCCCATTTCTCTGCACAGGTCCTGACTTAGAAAGCGGCCTGGTCAGGGGATGTGCTTGACAAAACTCTTGAAGATGAGAACTTGATTGAGACATATTCTTTGTCTTTGTCCAGGCTCACCCTCCTCCCACCACGATGTCCTGCCAGCAGAACCAGCAGCAGTGCCAGCCCCCACCCAAGTGCCCAGCACCCAAGTGCCTCACACCCAAAGGCCCCACACCCAAGTGCCCCTCCAAGAGCCCAGCACAGTGCTTGCCTCTGGCCTCCTCGGGCTGTGCGCTCAGCTCCGGGGGCTGCCATGGCCCCAGCTCTGGGGCTGGCTGCTGCCTGAGCTCCCACGGGGGCCATAGGTCCCATGGGTGCAGGCGCCAGAGCTCTGGCTCCTGTGGTGCTAGTGGGCAGCAGTTGGGGGGCTCCGGCTGTGGTTCTGGGGGCTGCTGCTGACCTGGAATCCTAATTCTGAGAGGAGTTATTTCAGAATTCCAGGGCGCAGGAAAAGCCCCTGCCTGATACAGCTTTATCCAGACCCATCCTGGCATTTCCCCCTTTCATAACCCTGCCAATGATAGGAATGCCAATGGCCCACTCTGTGAAAAATAAATCTTCTCTTCCTCATTTCCATGGGTGTTTGGTTTCATTTCATTTTGCTCATCCTTGGTGGCTGGTGGCCTGGCCTGTGCCCTCTGTCTGCCCCCAGGCCCAGGGACGCCCTGCCAAGGGTGCAGGATGCTGGACTAGCCCCTGACTGAATGAGGAGGGGTCTGGCTGTGTTTTATACTGGATGGTGATCCCGGGGATGAGGGAGCATTGGGCAGGTCCTGCCACCACCAGAACCAGGGTGAGTGACCTACGAAGGTGGGTGGGTGCCCCTCTCACAGTGCCTCCCGGACTCAGCTTCTGGCATCCCATCAAGAAACAGAGACTACATAGTAACAAATAATCAAAAACTAGGCACAAGGCAGGTTTTTTTTTAATTCTTTTTTTTTTAAGATTTATTTATTTATGCATACAAGAGCTAGGGTACAGGCCAGAGATGGGGGGAGAGAGGATTCACCAGAGACAGAGTGGGAAATAGAACAGGCAGACTGACTGAAATACACTGCTGAGGGGAGCAGCGGGCAAGACAGGAGAGGTCTGCTGCACCATATGAGTAGCTCCCTGGCTGTCCTAGGATCAAACTCGTGCTGCAGAGGCTGCGGATTGCTTCATAATGCAGTGCTTAACCACTTGTGCCACCAGGGAGGTCCACAAGGCAGTTTTTGACACAGAGAAACACCCCTCGTTGGAACATTTGCAATATGCAATGTGGTATTTGCTATATAACAATTCTCACTCATTTTAGATATCATTCACATCTAATGGGTCAAGGCCATGGATGCTGCTAAATATGCTACCAAGCACAGCAAAGATACAACGCTTCCCCCCAACAGAGATTATCTGATCCCAAATGCCAATAGCACCAGGGATGAAAAATCCAGAGCAGATGAACAAGTGAGGGAAAGGAAGATAAGACACCAGGGAGGATAGACAATTCCACTGACTTAGTAAGATACCACAGGGAGGTAGAGGTGGGTTCTGGGAGGAGACAGGGGCAAAAGCAGTAAAGCAAAGGAGTTAACAAGTTAGAGGGAGAGATGGGGCTGAGAGTTTAGGAAATGTGATAATTTGACAAGTGTGAATTAGAAGACAATTAGAAAAAAGGGGAACACCGAACATGTTTCTACGATTTTAAATTGGTATAACTGCAAGATCAAACTTTATTAGTGCTTATAATGTGCTGGGATCCCCTGCGTGACTGATGAACTTACTCAGTTTTCTAAACAATGGGTTTTGGTCACAATCTCCAATAGACACAATTCTGAACATAGCAATCCCAATGTTGAAATCCCAAAAGATCCAAATTCCTTGTCTGAAAACCCAAAAAACACATCCTGGAAGATAAACATCACACACAAAAAAGTCTCAGTTGGAAAATAATAATTAAAAATTGCCTAAAAATCATGCATTTACATTTTTAAAAGGAATTTATTTCAGAAACATGACAGCACTTCATACACATCATTTTACAATAAAATGCATGTAAGGAGAAATTTTATCTTTCACAATGCAGATATACAGAAAGGACACCTTTTCTTTTATTGAAGAAGAGTCACCATTCTACATACACCATGCTTACAAAAAGTCAATTTTCATGGAGTAAAATTTGCAAAACATGAATTAAATAACTTAAAATTCCATAAAAGCCTTTCCAGAAGTTTTATCTATGGTATTGAAAATGATATGAAGATGTAATATATAACAATGAATTATAGAAAAATGTAATGAATTATAGAATACATTACTTAAAATTTTAAAATAGTGGGGAAAATTAAAAAATGAAATAGAAAATTAGACATGGGAAAAAGTAAACTGTGGTAATGTTTATGGGCAATTGCATGAAGTACCCCATATCAGCTGACTGATTTAACTGTCATTAATGTATTTTGAAATCTTGCATCTCAAAAAATAGCTGCTTTTTGTCTTTTAGGGAATGACTATCCTCAGAGAATACACCATTTTTCTTTTACACGTAGTCTACTCTTTTCGTCATTCGTCATTCGTCTATGACTCACCAGCTTGTGCAGGGCCTGCTACATTTTGTCATCTTCTGGGCCATGTTTCTAAGCTGTTTTTTGGCACCATAAATCCTTTCCACGTGCCCTCATCCACAGACCACAGGTCGGTGGAAACAAGTCTGGATCGAACAGCAGGCGTCTCCTAGCCTTCTGCGCATGCACCAGTCAGGAACCGGTCGGTCGGAGCGCCACTGTAGCATCAGTCCAATGTAGCTTTAATTCATTAAAATCTCCTGAATTTCATCATCTGGGGGGGATGCTAGTGCAGACAATTCACTTTTAAACCGAAGTTTTAGTTGTTGCTGTATTGTATGGCCAATTGGCTCATCTCAATTTTCTGCCGAATTCATTGTGTTATAGGACAGGGAGAGGGGCAGCCCAAACCCCGCAAACCTGCCTATTCTAAATGGGGTCTGCCATCCGCCGCATCAACACAAAACATATGACTTTAATGGGAAGGAACTTTAATAAAACTAGGAAACAATACAGGTAAGGCAAAGAGTCTAGTTTCTAAATGAAGCACCCAAAGATACCCATCCCCTCGTGGGTAAAAGTCCATCCATATGGGAATGGCCCAGAACAAGGCCCCAAAGCCTGCTGCAAGTCTAAAGCATCTTCCAGTGGGGACCCACAGAAAAGGGCCAGAAACTACCAGACAAGCCCGGAAGGAAAAGAGCAAAATCAACATCAAGATAAAAGCTGCCATTGTCACCTAGTCCATGACCAAAAAACAAGTGCAGTTTCTTTACGTGTCTCTAGGCTCCATGCACCTCCTCCAGGTCTCCTAGCTCCATCCTTCTTCCTTCCTCAGTCCCTTCTGCCGCTTCTCCTCTTCCTGCTCAGCTCCACCCTCCCTTGGGTGGGGCAGGGAAACTCCCCCTTTCCTGGGGACCACCCTGTTACAATTGGACTAAATAGAAAACACAAACTCTATTAGCTAAGATTAAAATTCGCATTTAGTAGCCTTTATCATACTTAATACCATATTTTTCATCATGGTTTGGGAACCAATTGAAAGTGATTTTCTTCTGCAAAATCCAACAAATCTCAACTGAGCATTTATGAAGTGCTTCCTTTTTTCCCAGTCATTAATACGTTAATGAACAGAGAAGTGCTAGAATTTTCAGATCCAACAGGGGCATGAACTTAAATAGTTGATAAAAAAAAAAGTTGGGACAGTTTTTAAAGTGTCATCCTTTACTGAAGCCTGAACTAGTTTTCCCATGTTAGATGCATAGAATAACTGTCTTCTGGACACTCAAATTCCTCTCCAAGAACAGCACACTGTGTAATGTGTGTGGCGACATGGAAGCTCTATGCCAGCAAGTGTCTTCAATTCAGAGGCTGTTCAACTTGTCCACTGGTTCCTACTCTTTAACAAAGGACATCGTTTGAAGGCAGGGACAGCACTATGTGCCAAGGGGCAGAAGGCCTACATGATTGAATAATCTGACAGGTTTTGATTTCTTGTATTTTCCCCGGTGTTTTCACTTGTTCTTGGCATTCAGAGTGTCAATATTCAGGATTTTGATCTTCTGGGATTATGATTTTCAGGATTTGAGGCTTTAGGGTTTTTTGATGCCTCAGGATTTCAGCATTTGGTATCAAGGCTTTTGGGACTGTGCCCTTTAGGGTTACAATCAGCACCACACTCCCCAAGGGCCAGAGCAGTATAGAGTCATAAAGGAAATACAATGTAAGTCCAGCATAGATAGGCTCATGGGAAGTCAAAGTCACCCCCACCATGTGAGACTTCACTCAGCCTCATGGAAGGGGCTGGTGGCCCAGAGGCACGCATCTCCCAGATTGGGCAGAACCACACACGGTACAGGAGCTGAGGGGCTCTGCTGCATGGAGCATGGCTGCAATACTGGACCACATTGTAAATGCTCATCCACTTCCAGAGAAGCTAGACTCAGACTTGAAGAAATCTAGCCTCTCACACGCCAAGACTGTAGACTGAGACTTGGGGGCTCAGAAGCACCTGTTGTTGCCCACTGGAAAGTTTTATCTCAAACTTGTGACTGCTAATAGTACGCATTTTCCTTTTGGTGGTAAAAACGTCCTGGAATTAGATAGTGATGCTGGTTGCATTTGTGAATATACTAACACCCAACCAATTGTACATTTTAAAAGTGTGGATTTTATGGTATGTTGTAGTGCCAGGAAGGCACAGAGCTGGTTCTCTCTGATCTGAGCAGACGGCTAGAGTCCTGGAGCCCTTGGTGGCTTTTTCAGGCTTTTATTGAGCTTTTACATGTAGTGCAGCAACCAGGTACACGGCAGGAAGGGGTGCCACGGAGGCCAGGAGGCCAATACACCTATCAGCCCCCGTGAATCTTCAGTCTTTTCTGGGATCTCTGGCGTTCTCTCTCCTTTTCTCTCTCCTGTTCTCACTCCTGCATTTGCTTCTCTTGGTGAAAATATATATATATATATATATATATATGTATATATATATATATATATATACACACACACACACACACACACTGCAGTCATGGCCCACAGAACTAAACAATACAACTTATAACAATGTAACAAAATGCAGGTTCCCACCATCAGGCATGCAATCTTAATGGCTGGAGGGCAGAAAAGCCTGACAATTATTTATCCTACAATCCACCCCCTCAGGGTTTTCTGCTATACAGTCTACATATAAATTAAATACAATTTTCCCTTAACAAATATAAACACTGCAGTCATGGCCCACAAAAGAAAATAGAATACAACTGAATATATAATGATGAAACAATACAACAGAACACAAATAAGCCCAGGCAAGGCACCAACCTAGTGGCAAAAGACAATTATTGGCACTAACAGCTC